TCTTTTAAATCTGCTAAAGTTTATTTTCTGACAGAATTTGGTATATTTTGGTGAATGTCCCATTTTAGCTAAACTAAACTAAATAAAGAGATATGACAACTAAATGGAACATGTGGGCCCAGATTAAAAGGATCCAGAATGAAATAGACTCTTTGATGTGACACTTAAGATGCATGTGAATATAATTTCTAGATTAGATGGTAGTGCTGCATCAGTGTTGACTTCCTCATTTGGATGATCATATTGTGACAATGTAGAACAATGACCTTATTTTTGGGCTATACACACTGGTGTATTTAAGTGTGATAAATACTATATTACCACTTGTTCTCAGATGGGCCAGCAAAAGAATAATGATAATGGAAGAGTGCATATGTGTGAAATACAGGATATTTTGTAGTGCCTTTGTGACTTCTCTGTAAGTTTGAAATTATTTTATAGTAAATTATTATAAATGAGAAGTAAGAGTGAATTAGAAACAGATCATATTTCAAAGGGTTGAATCATCTTAATCCCTGAATATCAATTGTGACCATAATTGCTAGTTTCATTAGGCATCTGGTAGAAATAAATGAAAATTCTCTATGCAGGGGAAAAAAAAAAAATTACCACAGGCCTTACATTATATCTATAACAAAATTTTCAAATATAGTCTACAACAAACAATAAAACATAACCAAGCTTAAGAGGAAATGAACAATATGAACTAGTTAAGTATTCCTTGCATCATCTTGTGGAAGATTGTATCTTCTTGTCCAACTGACATTCAGCTTGGACATATGACTAGCTTGGGTCAATAAAATGTGAATAAAAGTGGTAAATGCCATGTTTGAAAGCTATCATGGTTGAATTGAACTGTTGTTGCAAAGATGTATGCTTTGCAAAGTTGATAATACGTACGACCTGCACACGGAAAAAAAAAAAAAGAAACCTCTTCCCATATTCCCATCATCCAGTTTTCTTTATTGTTAACCTCTTACATCACTGTGATACATTTTTGACATACTAATGGATAAATATTGATACATTATTGTGAACTAAATTCTATGCTTTATTAGGATTTCTTTTGTTTTTATTTAATGATCTTTTTCTATCCCAGAATCTCACCCAGGATACCACATTTAATTTAGCCAACATGTCTCTTGTTTACTTTTCTTGGTTTGATGACCCTGACAGTTTTGAGGAGTACTGGTAAGGTATTTTGTGTAAGGTCCTTCAGTTTGGGTTCTTCTGATAGTTTTCTCATGGTTAAAAAATGGATTTAGGTTTTTGAGAGGAAGACCACAGAGATAAAATGCCATTTTCATCACATCATATCAAGGGTATATACTATCAACGTGACTTATTATTGATGATGTTAACTTTGATTACCTGGATAAGGCAGTATTTGCCAGATTTATCCACTGTAGTTACTGTTCCTTTCCCACCTGCACCCCTACATTTTCAGACTTTTTAGAAAAAAATTTACTATATGTATCCAACCCTAAGTCTTGTGAATTATAAATAATTAGTTGGATTTCTTCTGTACATGGTATTTGCAGATTCTCTGTCACTTAATTATTTACTGAATTTACTTTGTGACATGTCTCAAATTATGAGCAATTACACACATGGGGTTGTTACGAGTCAGAATTGACACCATGGCAACTATCAACAACAACATCCTCATAAATATTTATTGAGCACTTTCTAGTTTTGACATGATACCAATAAATCAGTCAGTCAGCAAACATTTACTGAGTGCTTCTATGTATCTAGCATTGGAACTGAAGGCATTGTTTTAGAGGTATAATTATTAGGAAATCTTAAACACTGAGGTAACCATAAATTTCTAGCTTTCCTAGACACAGAATAAAAGTTATAGTGGCCATGTCTGTGTACCTCACCACATCATGTTGTACATGGTGCTCCCTGACTACAGCCCACACAAAGACTAAACCCAGCTCAGGGAAAATGTCAACAAATCTAACAGGATTTGGAGTTTTTATGTGAAATTTAAGCCAGAAACAGAACCCTCCCTTCTCCTGGGCAGGTATAGAAATTTCGTTGCAAGTTCTTGGGAAATGTGATTAGTCCAAATTTCAGCCAACTTAACATACCTGGTCCACTAATGGCTGATGTCAGAAAGATACATAGATTAACTCTTGTTTAGTTTCATGTAAGTAACATCAACCATGAGCTTTATAATGCATATAATGACAAAGCTATCATTATGTAGTAGAATGGTAGGTAGAAAAATAATCATGACAGAAGTTAGTACATAAAAAGTACAATAAATAGCAATTGTTGCCTTGAAGAGTTAGGATTCAGCTACCCATCCCCTGCCTCCAGCAAAATCTTAACATTTTCCAGGATTCTCCAATTTTTGTATAATGCACAACTACATTATATTTTTTAAACAATAGCTTTAATTTCAGAAATGGTAACTATTGAGTGGGGTGCTGAAAAATTTCTGGTCTTATCTCCAAAAAAGCAGACAACAAATCATATTGCTTTTTCTCTAGTTTTGACTTTTAGTGGAGGAGTTAAAAAGGTGAGTGTTGTAATACTGAAGACCCAGAGTGAGTCTGTCATGATCCTGTGTGTGTTCTGTCTTAGATAAAAGAAGCATTGACTGTTATAATAACCCTGCAACTGAAAAAATCAATGCAGTGCAGTAAAAAGGATATACACCGATAAACACTGTATAATTTTTTTAAAAAATTTATTTATCTATTTACCGACAAACACCACAGTCTTAAAACTTAAGTTTACAGAGCTTGCATTCATTACATTGTATATACTATAGAAGGAAATCTAAGACACAAGTATGTCAAATTAGCTGAAGGTGTATAAACATGAATAAAGCTTATTGGAATTATTTATAAGCATCTGAAAATCATTTCTATTAAGCCTGCAATTTATGTTCTTTAATTTTTTCTGCTACAATTTTCAAATTTAATGTACATATATATGTATATATAGATCTCAATCACTAAAAAAGTAATGTTAACAAAGAAGCATTTGGAATGCCTGTTTATTTTTATTTTATATAACTGAGAAGCCAAAGCAATATGTGTCCCTGTATCATTCTCATAGCTCATTTGTATATTTGTAAGAAAAGAATATATAAAAAGAAAAAGCAGAAAGAATAAGCTTTCATTGCCCCTTTATCTGAAGAGTTCACATAACCATGTAAACGTAACTCATGAACCTTCCCGTGACTCCTGATTGGTAGATCTGATTAAGAACTCTTCCATTGTACAGTAAAATTAATCTAAACAACCCAAACCTGTTGCTATCAAATAGATTTGATTCTGACTCATAGAGACTCTGTAAGACAGAGTAGAAGTGTCCCAAAGGATTTCCAAGAGCAGATGGTGGATTTGAACTGCTGACCTTTTGGTTAGCAGCCAAGCTCTTAACCATTGTGCCATCAGTGCTCCAGTAAATTACTAAGGCTTAATTAGAATGAGCAATTATTACCTGCTTAAGCAACAAGTGAGGCTTAGACAAAATTCAAGCTCTTAAATGACTGATACGCTTGAAAATGTCAATATAACTTTTTTATCTACTACATTAATATTGATCTTTGAAAGTATCTTAACGTTTGGACCAAAGAACTTAGAATACTTTGAGAAAACACCCTTTTTTTTGTAGTTTAGATGAAGTTTACATTTCAAATTAGTCTTCCATACAAAATTTATACATACATTGTTACGTGACCCTAATTGTACTCCCCATACTGTGGCAGCACACTCCTCCTTTCCGCCCCTTATCCCTGTGTCCATTCAACCAGCTCCTAACCCTCTCTGCCTTCTCATCTAAACTCCAGACAGAAGCTGCCCATTTAGTCTCTTGTAGCTACTTGAGCTAAGAGGCACACTCCTCACGAGTATCACTTTATGTCCCACAGTCCGGTCCAATCCCTGCCTGAAGAGTTGGCCTCGGAAATTGTTTTAGTTCTGTGCTGATAGACAATCTGGGGGCTATGTTTTCTGGGGTTCCTCCAGTCTCAGTCAGACCATTAAGTCTGATCTTCTTACTAGAATTCGAGTTCTGCACCCCACCTTTCTCCTGCTCCATCAGGGACTCTCTGTTGTGCTCCCTGTCAGGGCTGTCATTGGTGGTAGCCGGGCACCATCTAGTTCTCCTGGTCTCAGGCTGATGAAGTCTCTGGTTTATGTGGCCCTTTCTGTCTCTTGGGCTACTACTTTCCTTGTGTCTTTGGTTTTCTTCATTCTCCTTTACTCCAGGTAGTTGGGACCAATTCATGCATCTTAGATGGCCACTTGCAAGCTTTTAAGACCCCAGATGCCACTCACTGAAGTAGGATACAGAACATTTTCTTAATAAGCTTTGTTATGCCAATTGACCTAGATGACTCCTGAAAACATGGCCCCCAGGTCCCTACCCCTGCTACTCTGTCCCTCAGAGTGTTTGATTGTATTCAGGAAACTTCTTAGCTTTGGTTTAGTCCAGTTGTGCTGACTTCCCCTATAGTGTGTGCTGTCCTTCCCTTCACCTAAGATAATACTTGTCTACTATTTGGTTAGTGAATAACCCTCACCCTCCCTCCCCACACTCGTAACCATCAAAAATGTTGTCTTCTGTGTTTAAACCTTTTCCTGAGTTCTTATAATAGTGGTCTTATACAATATTTGCCCTTCTGTGACTGACTAAATTTACTCAGTATAACGCCTTCCAGATTCCTCAATGTTATGTTTCATGGCTTCATCGTTGTTCTATATCATTGCGTAGTATTCCATTGTGTGGATATACCATAATTTGAGAAAACACCTTTTTTAAAACACAATTAGTTGTGTCTTTGTGTCCTGGAGAATTTTTAATTTAAAGGGAGGGGACAACTTCAGTCTTCCATTTAGGCAAAGATAAACTCTAAATTAAGCCATTTTGAGGAAAGTGAACAAAATCAAGAAGGAAATCATAGGTATAGATTATATTCTAAAAAGCATTGAAAGTAACATTTTTTAATTTTCTTCTCTACCAATCTAGGAAAAAAGTGAGGAATGCCGAAAAGAAAATTTACTCTCAGAAATGTTAAGACAAGGAAGCCCTTCAGATCTGGGTTTGTAATTTCAGTGTCGACCCTTTCATTTCCTGCTCATAGTGCACATCAAATCTTTCATTCAGAGCTACTGTAAAGTGATTCTTCCAGTCTCCTACTATCCCTGTAACAAAGGAGAAATAACAATAAATATTAATTATGACTTTGAGCCAGAATAATGAGATTTTCTAATATAAATCACCTTTATTAACACCTAATCAAATCTTATTCTTGCAACCTCAATGATTCTTTGTTTTACTTATATCATAAGTAATATACATATTTGAACTTGCAAAGATAGATTCGTCCTGATGGGCTAAAACAATACGGCAACTTTAATTCTCTGACTTGCCCCTCTTATGATCTTTTACTTAATTTTTCTTTTCCAACTCTCCCTCAGATATTGGGGTTCTCAATATGTGATCCATGTTTCACCCATTCTCAAGGTGCCAATACCATGGTCATGCTGATAACTTTCAAATCCAGACTTATGCCTCCATATCCAGGTGCCTATATGACATTACCATCTGGATGGCACAGAAGTATTCCATACTCAACTATTTAAAAAACAAATGTATTTTCTTCCCACCAAATTATGTTTTCTTTGTGCTATTTTCCATATCCTGATTAATGACGACACTGGTTATCCAAGGCATAAATTTTTACCCTCAATCCCAATATCTAATTCTTTATTCATGTCCATGTAGTCTTCATATCCATTGCTTCCTCTCTATTCCAGCTTCCACTGCCAGTTAGCAAAGTTCCTCAGTATTTCCTACCTGAGTTATTACAATATCCTAGCAGGTCATTCTTTTTCCCTTTTCAACATACCCAACACTAACCTGGAAGAAGAAAGCCACCTACTTTTTTAAATTAGTCAGTGGTTCACCTACCACCTAGTTCAGAGAATCCTGAAATTTCCTACTGAAACAACACAAAAAACAGAAGATAGAAAATTTAAACCCTGAGGATCAGGTAGGGTATATGGGAGTACAGTAAACAGCCCTCTGGTAGCATGGCAATTATTTTAAACCCAGTGTTTTATCTTAAAAATACATATGGATATATTGGTAAAGGAGTCTGAGATAATGTTAGGAATGGATAATTAAAACATAGATAAATTGAGAATTAATCCTTTTTTAGGGGCCCCATTTTCACCCAGTGGCAGGTTTGTTATTCCTAATATTTAAAAAAAAATTCCCTGAGTCTCTTACTGATAATTTGGTTTAAAGAGCAATATATTTTCTTTTCTGTCTCTGCTTCCTTACATATCAGTAAAACAGGATGTACCAATACTTTGTAGACTCTACATGCCTTTGGATTTTATAAACAATTTCTCATCAGACCATGCCTCCTCCCAAACAGAATTTCACCTCACTGTACTTTGATATTTTTGCTAAGCAGATATGTATTTTAATTCTTTCTTTGCCACTTAGTCTTGAAAAGTTTCTGCCACATGGCCAAAGAAAAATTAACTAATTGTTCTAAATTTGTTTCCTCATTTTACAATAAGATAATAATAGAAGCTCTCTCCTCAGTTCTGGTTAGAATTTAGAGATTGTATATACGTATATAAAACCTGTTACAGCACCAAGATACATAGTTAGGTTTAGTAGGTGTCAGTAGAGTGTGACATTAGTGCTGATGCTGGTGTGGCTGCTGGTTCTTAATACAATACGCTGCCGATACTAAAAACTCAATAAATAATAGCAATGAAGTAGTAGTAAAAAAAAATTTGCTATCTGCTCAATTCCAACTCATAGCAACCCTATAGGACAGAATAGATAAGGTTTCCAAAGCTGTAATCTTTATAGAAGCAGACTGCCACATCTTTCTCCCATGGAGCCGCTGGTGGGTTCGAACCACAGACCTTTTGGTAAGCAGCTGACTGCTTAACCATTTCCCAATCAAGTAGTAGTAATTTATGCTGCTGCAGAACTGGTTACTCAGTGAAGAGGGTGCCCAAATGTAAAACAGCACTGAAAAAACCATAAGCTAGATACCCAAGCACGAATAGACCTCATTAGGTTTTCGTCTATAACCATTTTAACTTGTGACTCCCAACAGCAATAGAGATAAACCATAAGACTTTCTCACCCTTTCTCATGAAGGGGGATACTTTCTGGTTCATAAATTTCTCTGGTATTGCTGTGTAATTGGTAGTTGGATTATTCTTCATCTCTTGGAAAGAAGTGTGATTCACAATAGTATCCACAAGCTCCTCTGATGGCTTCCTTCCCAGGAAATGAATCACTTTTATCACTTCTTTTCTAATATCCTAGGGAGAAGAAAAAAAAAAAAAAAAAAAAAAGCTTTGATGGCTAAATGGCTAAATTTAAATTGTTAACTTTAATTTGCTAAATCAAACCTGAATTACATTTGGATTAGAGAGAAAGAGAAATAACACTTCTACTTTTTCCATTTTTTTCTTTTTCTTTCTTTCTTCTTTTAACTGATACTGGAATTAGACTACCAATGAGGAAAAACAATAGACGATAGAGAATGTCTTGGGGAAGTGGTAATTTTCTATCCTCTGTCAGCCTAATTTCCATCACCCATAATGTGGGCATAAAAGATACTTCAAAGATTGCTAGAAGAACTTGCTGTTGTTAGCTGCCATCTAGGTGGTTCCAACTTATAGCAACCCTATGTACAACAGAAGGAAACACTGCCCAGTCCTCTGCCATCTTCATAATTGTTGCTGTGTTTGATGCCATTATTGCAGCCACTGTGTCAATCCATTTCATTGAGGGTGTTCCTCTTTTTGGTTAACTCGCTACTTTACAAAGCACAATGTCCTTTTCAAGGGACTGTTCCCTCTTGATAATATGTCGAAAGTAAATGAGACAAAGTCTTGTCATCCTCTCTTCTAAGGAGCATTGTGGCTGTAGTTCTTCCAAGACAGATTTGTTCATTCTTCTGGCAGTCCGCAGTATATTGACTAGTCTTCGCCAACACCATAATTCAAACGTATCAATTCTTCTTTGGTCTTCCTTATTTAATGTCCTGCTTTCACATGCACATGAAGTGACTGAAAAATACCATGACTTAGGACAGGTGCACATTAGTCCTCAAAGTGACATTTTTGCTTTTTAGCACTTTAAAGAGGTCTTTTGCAGCAGATTTGCCCAGTGCAATATGGTGTTTGATTTCTTGACTGCTGCTTCCTGGGCATTGATTGTGAATCCAAGTAAAATGAAATCCTTGACAACTTCAATCTTTTCTCCGTTTATCATGATGTTGCTTATTGGTCCAGCTGTGAGGACTTTCGTTTTCTTTATGTTGAGGTATAATCCAAACTGAAGGCTGTAGTCTTTGATTGTCATCAGTAAGTGCCTCAAGTTCTCTTCACTTTCAGCAAGCAAGGTTGTGTCATCTGCATATCACAGGTTGTTAATTCTGATGCCACATTCTTCTTCATATAATCCAGCTTCTAGGATTATTTGCTTAGCGTACAGAATGAATAAGTATGGTGAAAGGATACAACCCTGACACAAACCTTTCCTGTTTTTAAACCAGGTAGTATTCCCTTGTTCTCTTCAAACAACTGCCTCTTGATCTAAGTACAGGTTCCTCATGAGCACAATTCAGTGTTCTGGATTTCCCATTCTTCACAAAGTTATCCATAATTTATTATGATCCACACAGTCAAATGTCTTGGCTTAGTTGATAAAACACAGGTAAATATCTTTCTGATATTCTCTGCTTTCAGCCAAGATCCATCTGATATCCTTTGTTCCACGTCCTCTTTTGAATCCAGCTTGAATTTCTGGCAGTTCCCTGTGGAAATAATGCTTCATTTTTTTTAAATTATCTTCAGCAAAACTTTACTTGAGTGTGATATTAATGATATTGTTTGATAATTTCCACATTCTATTGGATCACCTTCTTTGGAATGGGCACAAACATGGATCTTTTCCAGTCTGTTGGCCAGGTAGCTGTCTTCCAAATTTCTTGGCATAGACAAGTGAGTGCTTCCAGCATTGCATCCATTTGTTGAAACATCACAATTGGTGTTCCATCAATTCCTCGAGGCTTGTTTTTCACCAATGCTTTCAGTGCAGCTTGGACCTCTTCCTTCAATACCATTGGTTATTGATCATATGCTACTTCCTGAAATGGTTGAACATTGACCTGTTCTTTTTGGTACAGTGACTCTGTGTATTCCTTCCATGTTCTTTTGATGCTTCTTGAGTTGTTCAATGTTTTTCCCATAGAATACTTTTCAATATTTCGTCTTCAGCCTTGATTTTTTTCTAGAGGTCTGCCAGTTTGAGAAATGCCAAACGTGTTCTTCTTTTTTGATTTTCTAACTCTAGGTCTTTGCACATTTCATTTTAATATTTTAGTTTATTGTCTTGAGCCACCCTTTGAAATCTTCTGTTCAGCTCTAATACTATATCATTTCTTCCATTTGCTTTAGCTACTTTACCTTCAAGAGCAAGTTTCAAAGTCTCTTCTGACATCCATTTTGGTCTTTTCTTTCTTTCCTGTCTTTTTAATGAACTTTTGCTTTCTTCATATATTATGTCCTTGATGTCATTCCACAACTCGCCTAGTTTTCAGTCATTAGTGTTCAATGTATCAAATCTATTTTTGTGATGGTCTGTAAATTCAGGTGGGATATTCCTGGTTATCCTTCAGGTTGGAAGACCCTCAAAATATGACTGCAGAAGTGCTGCCTTCTCAAAGTAGAGTTGACCTTAATGACGTGAGTGGAGTAAGCTTTTCAGACCTTCATTTACTGACGTGGCATGACTTGAAATGAGAAGAAATAGCTGCAAACATCATTAATAATAGCAACATGGAATGTATGAAGTATGAATGTAGGAAAATTGGCAATAATCAGAGATGAAATGGAACACATTAAGATCAATGTCCTAGGCATTAGTGAGCTGAAATGACCTGCTATTGGCCATTTTGAATCAGACGATCATATGGTCTACTATGCCAGGAATGACAAATTGAAGAAGAATGATGTTGCATTCATCATCAAAAAAAAAAAAAAAAATTTCAAGATCTATACTGAAGTACAACACTGTTGCTGTCAGCGATAGAATAATAGCCATATACCTACAAGGAAGTTCAGTTAATACAACTATTATTCAAACTTACACACCAAACCATTAATGCCAAACATGAAGAAATTGAAGATTTTTACCAATTTCAGCAAATTGCAAATACACAATCAAAATGCATTGGTAATTACTGTTGATTGGAAAGCAAAGTTAGAAACAAAGAAGAAGAATCAGTAGTCAGAAAATACGGCCTTGGTGAAAGGACGCTGGAGATAACATGACAGAATTTTGCAAGACCAATGACGTACTGCAAATACCTTCTTTCAACAACATAAAAGGTGAGTATACATCTGGATGTCACCAGATGGAATACACAGGAATCAAATCTACTAGCAGAACTAAAGGAAATAATGTTTGTAAAGTGCTTATTGCAATGTTTGGTACATAGTAGATGCTCAGTAATTATTGTCTATGAATATGAGCATAAACTCTCAAAGACTACAGTACCTTCTGAAAGATCAAGTTTTGGTGATGAGAATATATAGACAACTTTCTTTTTTATTTTAATTTATTGGTGTAACTGGTTGGAGCAAAGAAACCAGAAAGATGTGAAAAGCCAAATACTCAACATGTAACATCAGTGGTATATAAACCATTACTACCGTAATCCTCATCTCTGTGTCACTCCTACAGTGTATCTTATTTTTACTGTACTCTTACTAGGGGGTATTCTAGTGTACCCAGCCAAACCACCCAATGCAACTATTTGTAGTACTAACTGTCACATTTATTCTAGTGTGCAGTTCCCTTTACCTAGCATGCTTTCCCAACTTCTCTATCCTGTAAATTTCAGCTTGCCTTTCAAACTTCAGGTTAAGTATCACTTTCTTGCCTTCATAAATTCCCACATCAATCTATAGTACCATAGATGTAGTCTTGTAATTTTTTATTTACTTGTCTATCTACTTCACAAGACTGTGTCTTTGCATATAATGTTAACATATTTTGCTCTTTTTTTCTTAACACATTGTAGAAACAACAACAATCATGATTTAAGATCCTTATTAATTTAAATATAGAGGAAACCTAAATGTGGTCATTACTGACCAAATAGGGATTAAGAGAAAAAGATTCGACATAAAAAATTTGTTGGAGGGGAATTTAGCTAACATATTTTGTTTGTGTGCATTTTAAATTTCCTAACTGCTTTCCTTATTATAGTTACGGAATACAATACATAGATTATATAATAAACTACAGATCATGGTTGCTCCCCTTATTCAAATTTGTTTTAGTGTGAATTCTATAGATAAATAATAACTCAATTTTTAAAATATTAGTCATAATTTCATTTTAAACATGTCCTCATCTAAACATCTCTACAATTATTTCAATATTATGATGATTTTAATAGCTGGGAAAAAATGTGAACAAGATATGCATATCAGTTGCCCCTTTGGTGCTAACAAAGGGTGAGAGAAAGAAGAAATTTTTCATCTCTTAATAAAGTGAACCAGCATTTTTCTATATTTCCTTAAATTATAAAGTATGTGCACGTATGTGGTTTAAAGAATAAAAATTAGTCTGGCACCTATTACCCAACTTATGGAATAGAACACAGTTCTTCAGCTTTCAAATTTGCAAGTTTCTGATTTCATGCCTTTCACACACCATTCCCATCACATTCCCACAAAAAAATTTCTACTCCAAATTTGGGACTATCATACCTTTGCTTTACATTATAGTTTTCCAGCATATGTATGCATCCCTTAACAATATATAGTTTGGTTTTACCCAATTTTGAAATGTATATATAAGACCATATAACCATATTGTAAGTAGTGTTATTATTTTTGTGACTTGTGCTTTTTTTTCCTAATCAACAGTAGTTTTGTTCTCAAAATTCATCCATATTAATGTCTTTGAAGTTTGTTCCTTTTTATTACAATATAAGATTTCATTGCAGAATTGTACCATACTTTAAGTATTCATCCTTCTGTATATGTATATTTGGACTGTTTCCAATTTTTATGGTTATAGATAATGATGCTATGAACATTGTTGGACATATAACATTAGTATACAAGTCAGAGTTTCTCTAGAGTATATATATGAGAGCGAAATTTCTGGGCCATAAGATATGTGTATGCTTGGCATTGCTAGATAATGACAAATTGTTTTCATTGCGATTGTATCTCTTCACACTCTAACAGTGTGATATGTCTCCCTGATCCATATCTTGACTAGTATTGGCTATTGTCAGACTTCTAAATTTTGCCATGTTATCTCTTATTTAATTCATCTCTTGATTTTCTAAATTTTAAAATAATCTTTAGAAATTCTATTTGGCCATTTTTTAAATCTGTTTTGTTAATTTTAGTAGTCTCATGTCCCTATATAAGATGTTTAACTTTAACTTCCTCTTCTATGTCTTTAAACATATCAAACACAGTTATTTACAGCCTCTGTCTGATAATTCTGACATCTATAGGTTTGGAGAACAGTTGAATCTTCTAGCCCATGGTGATTCCTTCTGTATGTGTGTGCGTGTGTGTACGTGTGTTTTGTTGTTGTTTTGCATGGTTTTATAAACTCAAAAAATGGGTAAAACCAAACTATATAATTTCTTTACCTTTATCTTTAGAAAATTTTTAGACCTGGGTTTAAAATATATTCATTCACAGATGATTTTTATTTAGTAGCTTCAAATTTGTGCTAAAGTATATTAAATAATGTGGTCTTTTCCTCTAAAGCTTTTGGTAGTGATTGTCATCATTTAAAGGCAGATTTTGGTATCCAAAGTTATCAAATGCTAACATCTTAGAAATTATTAATTTGTCTGTGTGTTTCCAGGTTCTCACCTCTTGCATGTCTTCATAGAAAAGAAATAGCACATTTGGGCTTTTACTCTTTTCCCACCAAGATTTTACATGTTTATACCAGGAACCATAAGGAACTAAAATTAGAGAAAAAAAAAATTAAGAGCTTAGTTTTATCTCTATACACCTTAAAAACAATAGTAGCAACAAATAAATATAAATAAATGATAACTGAATGAGAACTAGTAGCTCAGCCTTACATCTTAAGTAAACTTCTCGGCAGCAAGAGAGAAGTATCTTTGATAATCCATGTCCAGAAACACAATGTCAACTTTCATCTTTATGATATGGTTTATAATACAGAGAAAAAGTAAGAGAAGTCAACTTCCCACTGATTTGATTCAGAGGCTAGGAGAGCATTTTCTGAAACTGATATATGTATGTGCATGTGTGTGTATGTGTGCGTGTGAAATCAGGTTGTTAGTGAAGGGAGTTTACTTAGTGGAATGATCAAAGGTCATGTCATCAGAAGATTAAGTCCCAGTCCCAAATTTACCGTCTACAAAACCAGCTTTATCAACTGGAGTTAGTAATTATATGAGTACTTAATACAGTCTTTGCAGTTCAGATAGTAAGAGCTATTCTCTTAGGGACTCATAGTGTAGAAAAGAAAAACAGCTGTTCTTACCTTCTCCATCCATGAATTTCTCCACAAACTCTGGAAATGTTCCAGGATTTGGATGAGCAGGTATCATTAAATGGAAATAATAATAAGAAACAGCCACATCCTTGACATTCCGGCAAAGATAGATCATCTAAGAAGATGACATTGCATATTTCTAAAATAGCCTCATCAAGTTTTCAAAAGAACACATTTATGTTTCCAACTACAGATATAATACATACTCATTGTAAAAAGTGTATACAATATATATAATCTAAAGAGGAGATCTCACTCAGTAACCTGAAGTGACAGCAGGGTTTGAATGTTGTCCAATGTTAGTTTTCACTTTTTATTTTTACACCATTTTCACTTACTTCATTTGAATTTCACAAAATCCCCTTGATATATACTGAGCCAGTTAAATTATTAGCATATTAAATTTATACATGAAGAAACTAAACTGAGACTGAATGAGGATCAATTATTGAGAGCAAATTATTGCGAGTAAATAATTTGGTAAACCACTCAGCCAACAATACAGTCCTCTAGCTTTTATACTACACCTCCATTCTTCATACTAAAGAAAAAAAAGAGTCCTGTTGTTTCCTCATTTGTAATATTGAAGAGAACATGTTTATGAGGATCCACTTAAATGTACATTGACCTCAGTGAAAACAGAGTTTCCGTGAACATATTGCTGAGGTTCCATTTTACATGCAGTAGAAACACCAATGAACTAAGAATCAGGAAGTCTTGGTTTTAGGTGCTAGTTCTGACATAAATAGTTCTGTAATCATGTGCAAAGCACCAGTCATTCTGGACATAAGTTTTCTCTCCACTAAATTAGTTAGTTGCATCATATCTCCATGGCCTCTTACAGGTGTGATGTTCAATGCTGCAGGAAAAGTTCTGCCTCAACTCCAATATTGCTGTTGTCTTCTCTGATCTCAGGCACCTAAGCAATGCCATCAGAGTAGGCTGTTCCTGACACTCAACTATTTAAGGGATATGAACACGGTCACTAGCTTGTCTTGCTCAAGTCTCTCCATTTTAAAGAATTTTAAAGAAAACTTCTAGTTCATTTTTATGAAGTATGCCTCTCATTTTTAAGGTCCCGCTGTGAAATCTTCCAAATACTATAGAATAAAAGTTAAGTTTACTTTATTAACAAAGCTATCACTAGACATATTCAACTTTTTAGATATTACTTGCAACAACTCTCTTGAATGTTTTTCACCTAAAAGCTGAATGGAACTCTTTGACAATTCATTTTCTCATCATATTCATATTCATATGATTCAGAATTTTTACCCCTTGACTTTCCTCATGTTATTTTTTCTTTCTTGGATGTTCTCTGCATAGGATTACTGTCTATGTTTCAAAGTCTGGATCCAGGTCCTCCATGAGGGTTTTTGTATTTCTTCCAGGGAGGTGGACGGGGGAAATGTGATCTCTCTTTCACCTAAACTCCCAACTCTTTTGACAGTCCTGTTCTACATTCCATTTTGTTTTGCTGTTGTTGCACAAGCACTTCCTTTTCCTCATTATCATCGAGGTAGAGTCCAAACTTCTTAACTGTAGAATGCTATGGACTATGTAGCATGCCCAAAAAATATGTATTGAAGTCCTGGCCCCTATATCTCTAGGTGTGATCCTGTTGGAAATAGGGTTTTTTGTTATGTTAATGAGATCATATCAGTATAGGATGAGTCTTAAACCTAATTACTTTTAAGTTATAAAAAGAACAGAAAGGACACAGAGACTCACTCAAGGAGAAGACAGACACTATCTGACGACCTGTCTACAATCAAAGGAACACCAAGGATCACCAACAGATGCCAGAAACTAGGAGAAAGACCCACAGAATAAACCAACACTGCCAACATGCTGTTTTAGACTTTTAGCCTCTGGAATTGTGAGAAAACAAATTTCTGTTCTTTAAAGCCACCTACTTTTTGTAGTATTTCTGTTATGGCAGCACTAGGTAACTAAGACAACTTCCAATGCCTCTTATACTTAATCCCTTGCTCATCTCCCTTCACTCATTCTGCCAGCATGTACACTTAACCTTCTAGTCAGTCGAACTGGTTTCAGCTCCATCCTTAATTGCTTCTGAGGTGGCAAAAATTAGCTCCTATGCATGCTGCAAATATCAGCCAAAATATTACTCCTAGGCACCTTTTCTACCCCCAGTGTCTAGATTAGAATTCTTCACTTATCTATGGAGGTAAGAGATCTATTAAAACAAACAAACAAATCCATGTCATGAAGTTGATTCTGACTCATAGCCACCTTCTAGAACAGAGTAGGACTCTGTTCCAAGGTTCCAAGGCTGTAATCCTTAAGGAAGCAGACTATCACATCTTTTTCTCATGGATCAGCTGGTGGGTTTGAACCTTCACCCTCTTGGTTAGCAGCCCAGCACTTAACCACTGAGTTACCAAGGCTCCTAGAGACCAATAGCACCTACTATTTTGTCCGTTTCCTTTTTCCTTTCCTCAATGAATGATGTGTCCATAAGGATAAGTACGGCATGCGCCTTGTTAATTGTTACATCCCTGACATACGATAGGCACTCGATAAATATTATATGTAGAAACAAAATTTATATTCATATCTTATCTTCTCTACTGTACTATTAGCTACTTAACTTAAGATCCTTGTCTGGTTTATTGGCCCCACAATTCCAAACACAATATTTTGTAAAAAGAAGGCATCCAATACAATTAGGAACAATGAATACAAAAGCAGCTATCATTTACTGAGTGTTTGCAACATGCTAGGCACTGTGATGTCCACCTTACCAGCATTATTTCATTTTATCCTTATAACAACCCTATAGGAAAGATGCTATTATTATTCTTCTTTTACAGATGAGGAAAATAAGGCATAAAGAGTTTTACTAGTTTTCTCAGAATCACTTCTGGTAAATGGAAAATTTGGAAGTCTAGATTCTGTAATTACACTGACTATAATCTATGCATTATATGTACATGGCTTATATATAACACATGTATTATATGTACAATGTATTAAATTCCTATAGATTCAATGACATAATAAATACACCCGTGTGCATAAGTCACACTTAAGGTGATACCTGACTTTATCATTCTTAAATTTCTTTGAGTTGGATAAAGTTCTAGGAACACTTGACTCTGGTTACCTTGCAGTTCTTTTCCCAAAATGAGACTGGAAGATATTCAGGTGGGAGATGAGTCTTCACTATCCTAGGAGATGCCATATTTTTTAGTTGTTTTATTCCTGATTTAAAGAAAGAAAACAAACGTTAGACAACTTTAAAAATTATAAACATTTATATAGACTTACATATAGTTATTTTAAAGTAGATCTAACTTAACTGACTATATTGTGTTCAAAATAACAATACAAACCTACTATGAAAAATGATATAGACAGATGAAATTGTAGAGAAAAAATCAAATAGTATTTCATGTCCTGAGAATAATCATTATTAACATTTTGGTAAACAGCTTCCCATATATATATCTATATGCCCATATTCATAGCCACACAAATACTCTACACATAGATGGGATTTTTTATATCTTCTAATTTCTTTAGTATATTTTATGCAACCTACAATGTCATAAACCATAGATTATCCTAAATTTTTAAATTATTTCAGAGCATTATTATACCACATTTAACTACTCTATTATTGATTAACATTTAGGTTGTTTCCAGTTTTTCACGGTAGTAAAATAATCTGTGATTAATATCCTTTTTCATATACCATTGAAAATGTATGGGCATTTTCACAGTATTTAAAGTATTATGAGGTTCAGCCAAATAAATGTTCATGTATTAGTAGGTTTTGCTGAAGACATATAAGTGCTGTCCTTTTTTTGCTCTGTTTCAGACACATGCTGAAACCATCTCAAGATATAAACTTAAATTTACATACTGTCCTATGTAGAAGACAATTCTAATTCCCTCCTTGCTTATAATTTCGTTTATTGTACCATTTATACCCACACTTTAAAATACATGCATATAGCTTCTAAAATCAACTTAAACATTACCATCAAAGTGCTCTTCATTTTTGCATTCCAAGAAAGGTATTCGATTAAAAATGGCATCTTCTTTGCACTTGTCAACATTACCGTCTTTATAGATCAAGTCTACAATTTCACTAACCCAGGTTGTGCCTGTAAAAATTAAGCATACTTAATAGGAGTCTCCCACTGATGATGCAGAGCTACTGAAGGGATTGCCAGATTTATAGATGGATCAATTAGGAAGATATCAGTGCAATGTTATTTGTAGGATGTCAGAATAGCCGGGAGAGACAAAAAATATTTCCAAAAATATTTAATGAACCCAAAAATAGCCTCAATAAATAAGGATTGATATTGTAACAAGACACACCTAGAGAAGGAGTCCAAATTTGCCCATGAAGAATTGTAACACTCTGCAAGCTGATAACAGTTTTAGACTTCACTTTTCTGTCTAAAAAGTAAGGAGAGTTGACTAATAGGTAATGTTCTCAAGTATGCTTCAACCACAAACTACTGAGAGTCTACTCTATCTCAGGTTGAGTCCTAGTTCAGAGGATATAGAAAATAATTTATCTAGTCCCTGCTGTAAGGTGGCCAAAGGCCTTTTGAAGAGTCAGAAAATGTTCAATAATTACAACACTTTCTTCTTAAGCTGCTATAATATAGGTTGATACAAAAGTTTAAAGGACTGCAAAGGAAGACCGTGTACCTCAGACTGCTGCTTCTGTAGCTGCTGTGACTTTTGGACAAGAAATGCCTTCAAAATACATGATAATTGAACTGAGCTTTAAATAGTGGCATAGATTCACTAGTTGTGTGAGTTGTGAAAGGTTTCTAGTAGGCAGAAGAACTGTTTCTTTCTTTTTTTTTTTCATCAAATGCCAGGTACTTAAGAATGGTATATCCACTGCCGTGGAGTCAATTCCAACTTATGGTGACCCTGTGTGTTACAGAGTAGAACTGCTCCATACGGTTTTTCTGACTATAATCTCTTATGGAAGCGGATTACCAAGGCTTTCTTTCACAGTGCCACCGGATGGATTAAAACTGTCAATCTTTTGGTTAAGAGCCATGTGCAAGCCCTGTGCACCACCCCAGGACCATAACAATGGTGCAATGGTAAGGAAAAGAAATGGAAATAGATGATAAAGCTTAAAACAAAGCAGTCTACCTGAAGAGATGAGTGGGGATGAGGCTACAAAAGCAAAGAGGTGCCACCCATAAAATACCATAAAGTGCCAAGCCAAACCTAAACTGTAGTTCATGCTAAAAGAGCCCTGGTGGCACAATGGTTAAGTGCTAGTTTGCTAATCGAAAGGTGGGCAGGTCCAAACTACCAGCCACTTCATGGGAGAACAAACCTGTTGATCTGCTTCTCTAAAGATTACAGGCTAGGAAACACTATGGGGCAGTTCTACTCTATCCTATGGGGTCGCTGTGAGTCAAAATTGACTTGATGGGACACAACAGCAAGGGTTCATCCTAAGGAATTTGAGTTGTTTTAGAACAGTTATAGAATGGCATTGATATACATTAAAAAAGAGAGCAAGCATATTAGACCTGTGTTTCTGAAGAATTCATCTAGTAGCAGAATAGATACTTCAATGGAGCTAGGGGACAATGAAAGGGGAGCCAAGAAACTATAAGAGGCTGACTGTGAGACTGAATGGGCAAAACATTTTGATTGATTGAATATGGGAGACGTAGAAGCACGAGAAATTGAATTTAGAATTGCTGTCTGGTTTCTTCTTTGGATGACTGGTGTTTTGCATTGAATTGTGTCCCCCTAAAAGATATGCTGGAGTCCTAATCATTAGTACCTGTAAATGTGATCTTCTTTGGGAAGAGTTTTTGAAGATGTTCTCAGTTAACATGAGGTCAAACTGGAGTAGGGTGGGTCCTAGTCTAACCTGGGTAATGTCCTTATAAAAGAGAAAAGACATAGGGAGACACAAAGATGAAGGATGACCCCGTGAAGATGTATCTACGAGCCAAGGATTAGCAGGGACTACAAGAATAGGGAGAGAAAACAAAGGATTTTCCCCTAACTTTGGAGGGAGCTATGGCCTGGAAGGCAAAATCATTTGGACTTCTACCCTCCAGAAGTTTAAGACAATACATTTCTGTCCTTGCAAGCCAACTAGTTTGTGGCATTTTGTTACAGCAGTCCTCAGAGACTAATACAACTGATATGGTGCTGTCTCTGATCCAGACAGGAAAGAGAAGTGGAGACACAATTTTAGGGTTAGGGTAACCAAAGGCAATGAGTTTAATATTTGACCTATTTATTTTTAAGTGCTAATGGAACAACCAAACAAAGAAGTCTGGATTGGACATTCTTAATTTATGTATATCTATGATTATATGACCCCAGAAATATCATTAATGTTGAGCTAATTTAAAAAAAAAAAAAAGGTGTTACTTAAAAATAGAGTTTTGTAGACGATTTTAAAGATGAGGAACTGATTAGATAAAGGAGTTTTTAAAAATTTATAAAAGTACTTAAACATATTTTGTATATATAAAGATGACATTATATATTCAGCCACATGAAGAATAAGGAAGATGAAAGAATTGACACCTTTGAATTGTGTTGTTGGCAAAGAATATTGAATATACCATGGACTGCCAAAAGAATGAACAAATCTGTCTTGGAAGAAGTACAACTAGAATGCTCCTTAGAAGCAAGGATGGTGAGACTATGTCTCACATACTTTGGACATGTTATCAGGAGGGATCAGTTCCTGGAGAAGGACATCATGCTTGGTAAAGTAGAGGGTCAGCGAAAAAGAAGAAGACTCTAAATGAGATGGATTGACACAGTGGCTGCGACAATGGGCTCAAGCACAACAACGATTGTGAGGATGGCACAGGACAAGGTAGTGTTTCGTTCTGTTGTACATAGGGTTGCTATGAGTTGGAACTGACTCGATGGCACCTAACAACAACAACAAAAATAACATTAATGACCTAATCTAAATACAGTTAGTAGTTTGAATTGTTCTTGTTTTAAATTATAGTTAAGCTTTTGCATTCATCCATCTATATTTCGTACATTTCTAATTTGGCCAACAGTATTTATTTGTCAAAGCTCTGTTCAGTTTATAGGTATAGACTGTGGGCATGGAACAGGGTGATAATATGCTGCTTTTCTATGTCTATATCAAAATTACTCTTCATTTAATTTGGGCAAGTAGCTGGAAGATGAGTGTGTAAGAAATGAACTCCACAATATTTACCATTCAAAGTGGCTTTACTATTTCTAGTTGAAAAAGGAACAACGCTGGCATATCAAGGATACTTACCAGATTTGGGATAGGTGGCAATAAGCAGATCATCTGGCCTTGCCTGGAATGCCTCCACATTATCCCAATTTTCAGCAAAATCTTTATATATTAAAAGTCCACGAACAGTGCGAAGTTTTTCAGAATACTCAGATTTGGAAGAATCCATCATAGAGTGGTAACTATAAGAAAAAAGTTATATTTTCCACTTTATATATACTTTCAAATGTGTTAATATCAATAACAATTATGTACATTAAGTTCCTTCTACATATCTAGCACATTCTAGTTGCTAGGTGTATGGAATAAAGGCTTATTAAGGAAGTATATGGCTTACTCTTTGTGCTTGAAGAGTGTCTAATCCTACTGGGAAGATAGTTCTAACAGAAAAATACTAAGGAAGAGACATTATAAAATCAAATGCTTAACTAAGTAAAAATGTGTGATATAAATAATAAGTTCTATGATGAATGAAAACAACAGAACCTTTAATTTCTCTATGAAAATTGATATAAAAAGACTTAGAGGTCCAGAAATACAACAATATTTGTCAGAGTTCAATTATGTAAACATTAAATAACAATAAAGATTATCGATCACATTTGATAGCTATTGCCAGATCTCTAAGTCAGGGCTTTGTTAGATCCCTAAATGTGTTCCATTTAATGAAAAGAATTCAAATGCTTGGTGAATGTATTTTAAAGCAGATGAAATTAGTGACATTGTCCTGGGTATATCTAAGATACAGATTGTTGAGAGTTCAGAGAATTCCACCTGTGACCTCTGACATCGCCTTTACTTTTCTTCTCACTTGGTCAATAAAGTAGTGGACATTCCCACTGAGTAACTTGCCTGCAAATAACAATGTCTAACAAGGTTATAATTTGATAATTCATCTCCTGATCCCAGGAAAATCAATTTAATATTCAGTTAGTCACAGAGGTTTTAGTTAAGCAAACTTTCCTTCATTAGCTTTCAACTTCTTTCAGTGCCTTTTTTTTTCAACTACCCACACTTGCCCTATTTTTGAGTTTGTGATATAACATAAACAAATCTTGCCCTTCCTTGACATTAGCTGTTTAATATCTCCCTCTTGTTTATCTTTTCCAAAAAGCTGTCTGATAAGTTGTCTTATATTTATACATTAGTGACTGTTATAGCTTTATTTTCTTTTCTAGTGAGTTTGTATTACAACAGGGGACTCTCAGAGAAAATAATTCTTTAAGTCACCCACTGTGTTTTTTTTTTTAATATTGAGAATCACAATCCATGAAAGGTGCATTGTAAAAGGCAAATAAAATTAGTAGACAGTGTAACAAATGGATAAATCCAAAGGAAGGAACATCTGATGGTAGAATTTTAGAAAGAAAAGGTCTTCAAATCAAATAATCTGACCATTTACTTATACCAAAGACTTCTGGCTGTGCTTTCCCTACTACATTACTAGGTTGCAGACTAGAGATGAAAACTTGCAGATGTTGTCTCCTAACTCTTTCTCACCAACATCTGGAACCACTTAAAATGCCATTAATTCCATTTTTGATATTGTCCTCTCTTTTTCATCTTCATGGTCATGCTGTAGTTCAGAACCTAGTTCAAATTGTTGGTTGGGTATGAAAAAAACTTTCAACTGAAGTTCCTGGCTGAAAGTGTGTATTTCCTCTTTCCACAACCACAGGAAGAAGGAAAATGGATGTTATTTATTAGGCACTTTTTGTCAGGCATCAAAAGTTTTATTATACAATCTTATTTACATGTCACAAAATTCTATGAAAAAGCAGACACCATTATCAACTCAGGTTATGTTTGTTCTGCACCCAATTCCATGAGAACAGAAACCACATCTATCTTATGCAAGGAAGACTAAACATGAACACATTTATACATATATGTAGATGTATACATGTAAATATAAACATAACTGTAATTATTCTTATTTTAGACCTGATAGCATAATTGTTGAAAAAATTAAATGATACAGAGAAAACAAAATCACTCTCTTTATTCTACTCTCAGGAGATAATAACTCTTAATAGTATTGTATTTATACTTTGAACTTAGTTATACTTTGCATTCATATTCTGAGATGATAAAATTCTTTTTTTTAAGTCAGTATTTTAGAGATGTTTTACACCTTTTCATATGTTTTCACATTTCATAAATGTATCAGTTATTTTAATCATTTTGATACATTTTGCCCACCTGGAGTGTTGCCTTTTTCTAACTGATTTATAGATAATAATTTACTGTTGGTTTATATGTTGACAATATCAATAGTTTTTCTGCCTTATATTGATTATTATTTTAACTTTTTAAATGATATATAGAACTTTAGTGTTCACATAATCAAACGTATCGAATTTTTCCATGTTTGATGCTGTTAACTAAATATTTAAATGTGCTCATATAACAAGAAACACGTATGTTCAAAAAGTTTTCCCTTCATATTAGTTCAAATGATTAACACAGAACCAGAGTATAGTTATTAAAAGCTTGGGCTCTAGAGTAGACCACCTGATTTTAAACCCTAGCTCTGCTATTTGAAGCTGTGGAACTTTGGCAAATTACTTTAGCTCCATTTTTTCGTCTGAACAAAATAAAACAAACAAACCCGTTGCCATCAAGTTGATTCCTACTCATGATGACCTATAAGACAGAGTAGAATTGCCCCATAGGACTTCCAAGGAGCGGCTGGTGGATTTGAACTACCAATCTTTTGGTTAGCAGTCAAATGCTTAACCACTGTGCCACCAGGGCTCCATCTGTAAAAGAAGATGATAATAATAATAATAGTTCCCTGAAATAGTTATTATGAATTAAATGAAAGAATAAACCAGGCCAAAATGTAAATGTTTAATAAATGAACTTATACTATTATTATGTCAATTCCATGCAACAATATAACAATGTAGTTAATAGAGTTAATGTATGCAGTTAATAACAGTACACATTACATGTAACCTTTCTATTCAAAACAGGGAAAATACGTGTTGGCAAAAATTATAAACAGTGGGGATACTTCCGGCAAAATGGTGCTCTAGGCAGAAGCACCACGCCATCCTTCCACAGCAAAGATCCAAAAAACTAAGCCGAACAGAGGAAACAACAGTCCTGATACCCTAAAACATAAAATGAAGAGATAAAGAACTCAGCCAAGCACCAAATGGAGTGAGAAAACTGACAAAGAAAGGAGAGGGAGGAGAGATTCATGCAGAGGTCCCCTACCAGCTAATGCAGCACAGATCCCCCATCTTGGACTCCTATCGGAGACCAGAAAACAGGGGGTACGAGAAAGCAGCTTCATGGAGCTTCCAGTGGGAGACAAAACAACTGGTGATTTGTGATATATGCTTTCCCACCCCCAACCCTTCTTCACCCCCACTCGGCCTCCTCTGCTTCCCGCGGCCACAGTCTCTTGTCCAGGAAACACCAGCTGCTTGGATTCCACACATCCTAACAGGCCAGCTCTCTGAGTGCCATTTGTTGGCTGCTGGTGTTGCCTTTTTCCACTTCTTTTGATTTCTTCCTTACCTCTCACCACCTCCTCCTCCTTTCGCTCGAATGCCTGGCTCCGTGCACCATCTTTGCTTCTTCCTGAGGGGTTGCAGAGCTCTGGTAACTTGTGATATGCGCTTCCCCACTCCCTACCCTTCTTCACTCATACTCAGCCCCCTGTGCTTCCCGCGGACACAGTCTCTTGTACGAGAAACACTGGTTGCTTGGATTCCACCAGCCCGCACTAGCTGGCTTTCTGAGTGCCATTTGTTGGCTACTGGTGTTGCTTTTTTTTCTGCTTCTTTTGATTTCTTCCTTACCTCTAACCACCTCCCCCTCCGTTCGCTCAAATACTTGGCTCCGTGTGCCATCTTTACTTCTTCTAGAGGGGCTGTGGAGCTCCATTCGAGTGTGGAGCTGCTTCCCGGTCTGGGCTGCCGCGCTGGTGGGATCCCGGGGCTTTTGTTCGTTTGTTTGTTTTCAATTGTTTGTTTGTTTTCTTTTCCTTTTCTTGAGTTGGGAGCCCTTTCTGGCCAGGTGGTGATGAGTAGCAAGGAGACTACCCCCTCGGCTTGCACAGACATGCAGAAGGATACCTGAGGGCATTTCTTTTTTTGTTGGTTTTCTTTTTTTTCTCTTTTTTTGGTGGCTTTTCTTGTTCTTTTTTTTTTAATTCATTTTGTTTTCTTTTACCTCTTTTTCCCTTTTTGTCTTTCTTCATTGCTCAGTTTCTCATCTCTCTATATCTTCCTTCTCTTTCTGTTCCCTGAATACCTGGTGTTGTATACCTCTGTGACTTCTAGCCAGGCTATACTGTGACACCTGAGAGAGACTTCCCCATACCTCATAGCTGCACAGGTGGTATCCCTGGGAAATTTGCGGTTTTTTAACCTTTCCAATTTTTATTTATTCATTCTTTTCTTTTCTTTTCTTCCTCTTCCCCTTTCTGTTTTTCTCCATTTCATAGTCTCTCATCCCTCCACTCCAATGGCAAGCTTCCCTAGCATTCTTTTTTGTTTGTTTGTATGTTTTTGGCTCCTGTTCCTCTCTACACTCTCCCATATCCATTTTAGCTCCACGCATAACAAACTCCCCGCTACATCCTGCCTACCTGCACCATGCGCTGAACATAACACCAGTAAGCGGCACAGGCACGGCCTACTGGAACCGGCCCTGCACTGATTACCGACCCACCCAGTTGGATGTAGTGGTTGCCACAGACAACCCATCCCTGTAACTCCTTTTCAGCTGGACCTGCCCTGACGTACCATGTCTGAGTGACTTACCTTGCCAATTGGAGAAGGTGAAAAGTGTTGTGCCTACAGATGAGCAGAAAACAAACAACAAACAGTCTGCCTGCTCAGACAGAGTCAATTTTTTTTAAAAAGGGACGAAACAAGCAAACCTACAATCCATAAATGAGAAAAATAACTACTGAATGCCCTGAAAACAGCAGACAATATCAAAACATTTACAAAAACAAGACAGGATGGTTCCAGTAGGCGTCCAAAATAAAACACCTGATGACTTTCCAGTGGAAGAAAATGCACTAGAACTACTTGATAGGGAATCAAAATCTCTAATACTC